GTCTTCGGCGGGAACAAGGTGTCCCACATCATGGAGCTGGATGCGCAGGTGAGTAAGGGGCTGCTCCTGGCACCAGGGGGGTGCTGGGTGTTGGGGGGGGTCTTGGCCGGGCAGTGATGTGTTGGTACAACCGAGTTGACGCTGACAGTAAGGGCTGCTGCTCTGCCCCCAGGAGTATGAGCTGCTGGTCCTGCCCAATGCCTTCATGATCCACATGCCTCACGCCCCCAGCTTCGACATCTCCAAGTTTCGCCTGAGCGCAGGGTACCGGGGCTGCCTCCAGACACTGCGGGAGGAGTTCCACCAGGACTTGTCACGGCGGTACGGGGCTGCCGCGCTCAAATACCTCACCGCCGAGAGGAGCCTGTGATGCCCGGGGACAGGGGGTGCAGGGTGCTAGCAGCACGCTGGAGAAGGGAGGGCGCAGGGCCTCCCTCCTGCCCCCGACCCACCGCTACAGCCTGGCCCGAGGGAACCGAGCCGGCAGCACAGCCTCTCCACCCCAGCCAAGGGATGCCCGTAGATAAGATGGAAGATGCCAGCTGTGAGAACAGGCAGTGCCTGCAGGTCAAGCTGCTGCAGCGTGGCCAAGGGTTTGGGTTTTTTTTTTGCAGCAGCCGCCTCCCTGTGTTACAGGGGAACCTCCCCATGATATGGGCCAGGGGACAGGGCTCCTCCCTCCCCTCTTTTAGCAGGTGTGGATTCTCAGCTTTCATTTGCTCACTCCACCTTGAGGACTGGCTCCTCGAGAGGCCTGGGAGCTGTACCTTACCCTCCTCTGCCTCGCCTCCCTGGTCCCGGGTCCCAGTCCTCCACCCACCCCTCTGGGGCTTTGGTGAGTGGGAGGTGAGGATGCAGAGCATCGTTTTGCATCCCTCGTGGGGCAGGCTCAGAAAGAAGCCTCCCAGCACCCTGGGCAGTGGGGCCAGGGAGTACCAGGAGGTGTGGAGACCAAGTTCAAGCCCGGATTGAGGCTGGCTGGTTAACAGGGCAAAATACTGTTACTCCCCATCTGTATGGATGCAGGGTTTCCAGTGGGGTTGGCCCAGTGCTGGTGCCGTGGGGGGTCACCCAGAGCAGGACGGGCTGTCAGAAAGAAGCCTCCCAGCACCCTGGGCAGTGGGGCCAGGGAGTACCAGGAGGTGTGGAGACCAAGTTCAAGCCCGGATTGAGGCTGGCTGGTTAACAGGGCAAAATACTGTTACTCCCCATCTGTATGGATGCAGGGTTTCCAGTGGGGTTGGCCCAGTGCTGGTGCCGTGGGGGGTCACCCAGAGCAGGACGGGCTGTCTGCTGTTCCCCAGCAGTGAGCTCCCTGAACGGGCCCGTGCCTCCCAGCTGGAAGCAGCCATGCCAGTGACCGGCCACGTCGGGGCGGCTGGCAGTGCCCCGCAGAGCCGGGCTGCACAGAACCATCACAATGGGCAAAACGGCAG